GGGAGTGGAGCATCTCCTGCTGAGGAGCGGCTGAGGGAGCTGGGGCTCTGGAGCTTGGAGCAGAGGAGACTGAGGGGTGCCCTCATTCCTGGGGATCCATTGGGAAAGGGCAGTGTCAGGAGGAAGGAGCCAGGCTCTGCTCTGGGATGGCCAATGCCAGCACAAGGGGCAATGGTCCCAAGCTGGAGCACAGGAGGTTCAAGCTGAAGATGAGGCCAAACTTTGTCAGTGTGAGGGTTATGGAGCATGGCCCAGGCTGCCCAGAGAGGTTGTGGAGTCTCCTTGTGTGGAGACACCCAAAGCCCTGGCCGTGTTCCTGTGTGACTGCTCTGGTGATCCTGCTGTGGCAGGGGTTGCACTGGGGGAGCTTTCCAGGTCCACTCCAAGTCCTGACATTCTGTGATTTTCTGAATCACCAGTGTTACAGACCCCCACAACTGCAGGGAATTTGTTGACTGTAATTCCCAACTGATCACTGAAATTGGATCTCCATACACAGGTCCTAGATAAGTCTTGCCATCAGCTTTGATATTTTCATGTGAATACACCCTGGTATTCTAGCATGGAAAACACTTGGGTTCCAGACACTGTACACCAAGAAATTCCAATTTTGCTTTCCCCTTGGATATCATCATCTCAGTTCCCAATCTCTGTTTTTATTACTTATCCCAAACTATTTATAAAATACTTCCTCTTCACAGGAAGCAAGAGGGCTCTTGTTGAACATCTGGACCTCGCAGGATTATTCTCATTCTTCACTGCATTCTCATCTTTACACCGTGGTTAAAAAGCCTTCTTTGCTCTAGTTTTATATTTTCTGCACATGGGAATCTGCCAAAACAAATAGGTCTCCTTTTTTGGAGATTAAAAACATAGTCTAACATTGGGTCATAGTTCTACCCTGTAAATTATACTTTTCTTTGTATTTATTCTTAATGAACTGTTTGAGATGTCATCTATACAGAGCTTTTTCTCCTTCATTAGAAAAGAAAAGATGTTTCATGCAACATGAGTATGTAAAACCATTTCACTCAAACCACTTTCATATCCTTTAGCTCCCCTGTCCAGTGAACCTTTTGAACAAGTCATCTTATTTTTCCAAGTTCATATATAGCAAAAGACTTTTTGGTTTCTCACATCTTCTCCTAGTTCAGTATTAAATAGTGACAAACATAGGTAGGATGCATCCATCACGGACAAGGCCCATGCTGCACAAACCCGGCTTACAAGTCTTTTTACAAAAAAAAAGCGTTAGTAAGTCTTTTAAAAGGAGGGGGGAAAAGCAATTTATATTCTCATGACCTCTTTTGACTTCATTTTCAAGTCATTCCTGACAGTTATTCTTATTATTCGTACAGCTTTCCAAATTACAGTTGGAAAGTAAAATCTACCAATTGTCGTCATCTGCAAGTCGGTCTAATTGCTCCAAATTCCTTTTTGAGCCACATCCAACAAATCACTTTGTTAACTTTAAGTGTGTGCAGTGCCCTGGTGCAATAAGCACAGCTTTTCTCATGCTCAGCTTTAATAAGCACCTCTGAGACTTCACGGAGGACTTCAGCACAACTGGGGCTGGTTGATGTTGGTCAGCCCACTGGTCTGATACAACAGTGCTTCTCCGTACAGATCCAGCCTCACTGTAACAACTTATTGGGTGACAAACAGTAAAATTCAAGTAACTTTTAAATATACTTTGTGTAGATTATTTCTTTCCAAGCGAGTTTTCACATTTCAGAGCAACAGCACACAGGTCCAGCCTGTTTTAGTGACACAAGTCAACCGGATCGTGTTTATGGTCATGGGTCCATCCTCCCTGACCTCCAACCATCAGCGCTTTTGCAGCTCCTCCTGTGCATTCCCTTCCCATCCACACTTACTGCCACAATATCCTGCCTTCAGCTCCTCCTCCATCGCTACTATTCCATCCCAGGCTCTTTTATTCTCTCCTGTATCATACTTCCTCCTTTCACATCAATCTTTTCCATGCTACCAGCTCACAAAAAGCAGTAATTTCCCCACACCGCGGGTACTCCGTGTTTTGGCCCTTGCACTGCCACCTCCTGGACACGGAGAAATGAAAGCACCAGTTACGAGACCCTGGGAAGCAGGTTAGGACCCCAAGGATATCAAATTATGTCGTTTAAGATCCTTCTCTTCCAAACCCTTGTTCATGAAAGCCACAGTCACCGCCCATCAATCAGCCTGATATTTGTAGGCTTCAAGTTTTCACGTTCACACAAGAGGCTTTGGCAACCCACAGCAGCCCAGAAACACCCACCTACAAGAGAGCACCAGGGAGATGGGTCAGGACACATCCAGCCCTGCTTCAATGAAAACAGCATCACACCTGACAAAGCAATGTGAGAGCTCTGATCAGAGTCAAAAGTAGTAAAAAGGCATT